GGGGGGGGGGCGCCTACTACTACTACTACTACTACTACTACTACTACTACTATTGCTACTACTGCAACTTCTGCTACTACTAGTACTCCTGCTGCTGCTGCTGCTACTACTACTACCACTACTACTACCACTACTTGTAGTATTTATATTATAGCCACCCCCCCCCCCCGGCACTACTACCGCCGAAACCGTTGGGTAAAACAGGGAACAGTGCGGAGGAAAACGCGACTTCTAAAGTGAACATGGCTGTTAACGGTGAGGTTGCAAAGCATGCAAGGAACAAAGATCATCAACAAAACTTATCATCTTTATCATGCCGTAAGCCAGCATGGCATGCTTGCCATGATCGCCACCCTACCCACTCCCCCCTCCGCCCAGCACTAGTACTACCACTTCTGCTGAAATCGCCGGCAAGACCAGTAGCACACAGTATGCTAGCATTATGTCATTGGTCCCAATGTCCTCCCGCTTTTGTGCGTTGGAGCGCTCGCATGTGTAGCTTTGTGTAAGATTGTGAGGTACTCGTTAGTATAATCATGGAACTAGTATTTGCTGGTGGTGGTAGCAGTAGCGGTAGCAGTAGTAGTAGCTTGTAGTAGTTGTTGTTGTTGCTGTTGCTGTTGTCGTGGTCGTTGTCGTTGTAGGGGTAGCCATGTGTAGCACACGCAACCATACCAGGAGCAATAGCAGCAGCAGCAGCAGCAGTCAGAGGCCTCATGGCCGTCGAAATAATAGGTAAATTCCTGGTACGTCCGTCCCTTGCCTTTCCTATCGCTTAGCTGCGGAGCTACTTCCGAGGTGAAGCTGGTGAAGGCTGTGAAGGCCAGGATTCAGGGATCAGGTGCAGCGGACCAGGATGATGGACCGGAAGCTTGCACAGATTATCAATACAGACCGATAGGTAAAGCAGCATACCTCTATATATATAATATGTAACAAGATATGCACCTAGCAAATTTAATGACATGAGTTTGTAGTGACCCCAGTCACTGGGCCATCTGGTTCGTGATTTCAGATCTCGTGCTGAGGGAGTTCCAGTTCAAGTCGAAGTGCTGTTTGCTGCTTGCCCGGTTTATGAACCTGGGCCTAGACGTGGGCACAGCTTCGAGTTCCGTACTGCCATGCCCGTCAAGCTCATACACTGGTTCCCAGGCGCTTCGGCGGCTTCGGACGATGTTGCTGGGATTGACATTGGGCGGTGATGGTGATGCTGATGACATCGATGAAGAGGCGGTCCTGATGCAGCAGGTACTCTTGCATCTTTCTAATTAGCGAAGATTAGCCTCCTGGTGATGCCAAGTGGTGGTAGTGGTGAAGCAGATACGCTTGTGTTGACGGCTCTTCCGTTGATATCTACGCGGACAAGCCATTGAGCCTGATATTTAGACGTTCTCTAGCAGTGTAGCAGGCGATACTTAGTACGTACCTGTTTCTGGTTACGCAGAATTTGACTGTGGTGTGTGATGCGTTTTGTTGTGCCGGTTGTGGCTTTGGGTGTTACTGCTGCAACTGTTGCCGGTGATGTTGGTCATGGTCGTACCTATGTCATGTGTGATTTTGGGATTGCACGACATGTTCGGTAACACTCTGAAAATACAGTCCGTTGCATTGGTCTTCTTCTTGATTGTTGTGTTCATTCCTGGTGCTGTTATGTGCTGCTGCTGCAGCTGCTGTCGGGGGCTCGGAGCAATAGACGGTGCACTACAACCTAATACATGTGTTCCAATACATGTTATGTGGAGGAACTGGGAAAACCTGATCCATTCCATGATGGTTGGATTAATTTACTGGTATGCTACTATAGCCCTGCTTCGCGACTCGCTCTACAAAGACTCCTCGTGTGCAGGGCTCACCGGTCTTGGGTTTTCACTCGCGGTTCTGAGCATCGCGGAAAAACAACTCTTCGAAAGAGCATGCCCTGAACACCCTATGCCCCAGATCCAGTCAGCTTTCTCAAGGTATAAAGAGTATCTGCGTTGTTTGTTGAATCCAACATACCCGCACCCGTTTGATTGGAGCTGCCTAGGCCTGAGTACTACCGGCTACAGAGATTCCAGTTGCTCGCCGAGGATATTCTCGATCGCCAACTCCTTCATCGACCTCATGTGGGCCTTCCTGGTGGCCGGAGCGTCAGCATCCACAAAGACTAGTTGCAGCACTCCACCTGCACCCCGACATTCCGAGGTGATCTTGATTCTGTTTATTTTCGGCATCATCTTATCCAACTCAGCAGCCGCTTGGTTTGTGACAAGCAAGACATTCATTGCTGTGCTAAACGTGCTTTCGTCTGTGAGAGTGCATCGCAGGCAGTGCTGTTGATTCGCACTGCTTCCAACTGCTTGCTCAAGAAACACTGACGTTTCTAGTGCTTGACATGTGTGCGGGAAGATCACGGCACGACACGTGCGAAACATGAAGCAGCTTTTGATACTGATAGAAGCCTTGAGACTAATCACTTGGGCATCACATGTTCCGTCCCCTTTCGCCCACAGCTGCCATGTTCCGATGATTTGGCCGATGTGCTTGGCCGGTCGGGGCTAGGGGCAAGCCCAAGCTCTCCAATGCTCTCCTTTGAGGTGTGGAAGGATCCGAAGAATCCGGGCAACGGCTGCTTGTATTGCACATCGGACAACGCCGGTGGCCTGGGGCGCAAAGTCACCGATGGCGAAGCGATACGGAAGTTTACGGAGCTCAAGGACCAAATGCCTCAGTTCCGGGCCCACCTGGAGCTGCAACCCCCGGTTCCTTTGTACCTGGCCCGGCTAAGTTTGGCGAACCACGAGCTCGGCGACCCTTGGGCTCTTCTCATTCACTTCTCTAACTGACGGCGAGCTGCGGCAGGGTAGTGTTCTACTTTGTGTGTGTTCTGTCCGTCTTGCTACAGAGGCCATCTTGGCCCTAGTCATATCCTGCCGTCGAGTCGTCAGCTTCGCTTGCCTGGTTTGATGGTTTATGGCTGCAGGGGTGCATCTTCGCCGGTTCATGCGGTGAGCTGTACTGTTCGGCATTCCGCTGCGTAAAAGCCTTGTGTCAGTCACACCGCGATACTGCAGGAGTCTCGTATTCTCGGCAAGCAGAAGTGATGTGCACTTACTTCTGCATGGTAGTCTGGTTTAGTGCAGGGCCGTCGCTTGCTTGTATGTGATTATTATTCGCAACACAAGTAGATTCCAGATGCGTGGTAAGTAGACGGTTCGTTGTCTTTTCTGTTATCAATACCCCTTTGGCGGCTGCAGGCTTCGACTGACTTTCGGTGACTCTTAACTAGTGTTACCTATTGTTTCACAATATGACCTAGTGGATTTCAGTTGCACCACGTTGGTATCGATCTTGCGCTTCCCAGTGTTGCTGTAGTTGCTGGTGTGGTTGTTGATGTTGTTCCTGGTAATGATGATGGCAGCGGGGTGCGTGTTCAGACATGTACTGAATGTTGATTGTAAATAAGTGTCGGCATGCAGTAGGTAGAATGTGTTTGTTGTTTCTGAGTGTGGTCCTATCTATCTATCTGTCTGTCTATCTATGTCTATCTATCTATCCATCCATCTATCACATAGACACAGACAGATGCATCCGGTCACTGGGGCAAGTCCAACGGAGCCCCGAAGCGAAAGCTGTGCAATAAGTCTTTGTATGCCTGAGCATCCAAGGACCGCGCAGTCCGTCAGCTGGTCGAGGCGCTGTTGTCCGGCACGACGCTGGTGGAGGTGTTGGAGCTGTACAAGAACCGACTAGGCGATGCCTCGGCACAAGCACTTGCTGTGCTGCTGGAGAATTCTCCAAAGCCTGGAGTTCACGGCTTCCACCTGTCCCATAACTACTTCACACCTTTGGGCGTGGGCTTGCTGCTGGCTTCTGCAACCCGCAGCAACTTTTACCCGGCATGGCGAAAGTGGCGTGGTCGCAGCTTCCTTTGCCCACTCTGGTTAAGAGTCGAACAACAGTTGGTGAAGTGGGATGTGTTAAATGGTCTGGGAGAAACGGAGCAGAAGAAAAGGGCAGATCTTCTATTGGCAGAGAAAGCCGCCACCCTCACCAAACGCTGCCAGGCAAACGGCCGGCTTCTGCCAGAGTCGTTGCCCGAGGATTTCAGGTTGCTTTGCATGCCCGAGGGCTTTGATGAGCCATCGGAGGATTGGCCGGAACATCTAGATCGCCGGCCAAAGACCTGCTCCAAGTGGTATTGCGCCCACATTCATGAGGATGGCTGGCCCATGGTACACCTCCCCTATTTCTGGTCCCAGAATTCCGATCGCACTTCCGACGTCTGTCCAGAGGTCGGTAGCCTGCACCGCTCGGACCCCACCTGGCGCTCCTGGAGGCCCAGGTTGCCTGTCAGCGTCCTTGGCCGGATCGCTCTCAAGGGCCCTCCCTCGCCAGCGCCCTCGGCACAGGCACATTATCATAATTTGTTATTGTTAGTATTATTGTTACTGTTATTACTATTATTATTATTATTACTATTATTATTGTTGCTGCTGCTGACCGCTCCACAGGCCCAACCCTTGGCAGATGGGGAGGTTCGGCCTGCGGAGGCTCCGGCTGCCAAGCAGGAAGAGAAAAAAGGGCCGGGTAAGCAGGGCAAGGAGCCCAAGAAGGCCAAGGAGCACAAGAGCAAGAAGTCTAAGGAGGACAAGGAGGCCAAGAGAGTGAAGAAGCAGAAGAAGGAGAAGAAGGAGAAGAAGGACGGGCCCAAGCGCAGCGCGCGCGACGAAAAAAAAGCGCCGAAGCTCCGATCCAAGAAGGAGAAGCCCAGCCCAAGCGAGGCGGAGGCACCGGTCGTGGAGCCGCCGGAGGACGAGGAGTGCTCGGGCTCCGACAGCGAAAGCCCCGGAGCCGAAGAACTCGGCAGGTTCTCGATGGAGCTGAACCGGGAACTCGAAAGGGCCATCGACTTGGAGTAGCCGCGAAAAGATGATCGGGATCTGCAGAGCTAGGGTTTAGGGGTTAGCGGGTTTAGGGTTTAGGGTTAAGTTTGTGTTGATGGCTGCAGTGTGTCCAGAAATCTTTGTGACTGTGATAACTCGGTTGGAAGCATCAGCGGATCAAGCCGCATGCAAGGCTACCTACTTTGAGTCAATCAACCTGGGAAGCAGCGACTTGCTTGCGATTCATTCACAGAGACAAAGGCAGGGCCGGATAGATTTATAGATCCCATGTCTCAGCGAGGCTGAAAGAGGTAGGACTTCAGACGTCATGTCATTAACACATGATGAGAATGGCTTCTTCTAGGTTCAGCGTGGTTTTCGGGCTTTGGGATAGGTTCCTGCTCTCGGTGTCGGGGTTATCTGCATTTCAAGGACAACTGCTGTGAGTCTCTCCTGACAGAGATATGGATCGCTCAAGCATTTTGGGATCGTTTTGACAAGCGCGTCTAATGAGGGTGTTGGCTTCTTCTGTGGAGATTGGAAGCCTCTTTGGCACGCAGTGGCCTATCCGGTATAGTGTGGTCCTCTATAGTGTCATGGTCCCTGTGATTCCAGTCGATCTGGGATGTTTGGTCTTGTGGGACATTTTGCCACTCAGTCTTCCCAACCCCTGACTGTTGAAAATCCTGTTCCCAGAAGCTGTGACGACTAAAATTCGCGGGACTCCGGTCTAGCAGGCTGAATAGAGGAATGGGGGGCAAAAAGTCTAGGCAGAGCCCTCGCCTTGCATAGCCACTGCTGATTTGCAACCACCTCCAACCAAAGAGGTCGGCACTTGCATGAAGGGAACCTAGATCATATGCATAAAGCAAGGAAGAATAAATACTACATCAATTCGAAAGAGGAAAGAGGACTGGCTGCAATGTGTTTCCGGTACAATCCTGTCCTCAAACGCTGTCTCGAAATATACTGACGGTCGTGCATGTGCACGCGTGTAGGCACCCGCTTTCAGGTTTAATTTGGGAGCATTTAATTTGTGAGCTTTCTGATTCTTCCTCTGGGTATGTACAAGCGCATACGCGCGCGTGTATGTATACCAATGTACATGTACATGTGTATGCATAGAGAGTATAGGCGTATTTCTTTTTTGTTCCGAGGTGATGATATCGACGAAGCCGTAAATGTGCCTTCGGCTGCCAGTCATGCAGTGTTTCGGTAAGCTTGAGTTACAACACGCCGCTGTTGGTGTAGCAGGTCATAAAGCCGCTCTTCGGGAGCCTTCCCGTGACGATGCTCTCTTTGTGGTGTGCAATCAGTGGTGGCAACGCTTCTTGGCAGCACCATCCTGGAAAAACTCTTGTGCAAGAGCTCCACGGCCGAAGGGAGGGGTCGTAAAGATGTGCAGACGCACTTGTATCTCATGACCGTCTCCAGCAACTCAACGAGTCAACTCCTTGGAAAATGGTTATACAGAGGGTATACCATGCGCGCCGACAAGGCAGCAGTGCTAGACAGGTTGCCCATGTGAACCATGTGAATGCTGCAAGATGCCTGGTTGATCCTGCTTCGGTGCCTGTGTAATTACCCATAGGCTCCATTGTAGTCCTCTCTGTGGTTTATATTTAGAATCTTATAGGTAACCCCCAAAAAGGAACTAGAATCCTATAAGGTAGCCCCCAAAAAGGACTAGAATCCTATAGGGTAACCCCCAAAAAGGAACTACAATGGAGCCTATGGGTACACACAGCTCAGGACTGGATGGTGTATGCAGAAGCGCTGATGGTGATGGCAGCTTGGCTATAGAGCCGCTCTTGCCCTGCAGTGAGGGCAGGGTTTAGGGTTTAGGGTTTAGGGCGAAGTGGAGATCCTGTTGCAAAAGGGTTTAGGGAGGTGTTCATGATCTCCCAAGGACCGTGACAACAGCTACGTGTACGTTGCTGTTTTCCTCTTCTACACTGCCTTCTGCGTTGTCGAACTCTTAGCTGCTAAACTTCATGACCTGGATGTTGGATTGCCACTCCGACCAAATAACTTTTTATAACGGCGAGAGACCGGGCAGAGGTGACACTCGTAGCTACTGCATAATCCCGACATATGCGTCCAGATCGATGCCACAAGTTAACTTAGCGACTTAGCAAGCGAGCTGAGTTTTGATCGTCCGGAGCACTCATTTCCATAGTGGTTTGCAGCAACCGAGGTCGGACTATTCAATGTTGTGACAGGCCATGGCCTGCTGTACGTCTGCACAGAACACGCAATGAGGATGTTGCGGCCCTGTGAGGCTTTGTGAATGCAAGCCCGTCTGTGCAGTTTGCCACATCGTGTTCTTCGCACGAGCTTCGCACGCCAGGAGTGTTCGTGGACAGCGCTGTCTGCTGCAGAACTGAGGATGAAGTTTTGCAGTGACTTGGCGAAAGCTTTTCAAGTTGCAAGCCCGATTCTATGGAGAAGGGTTTCTCGAATTGCTTCAGAGGCGACAGCATGCAAGACAAATGTAGACGTAGAGGTATAGTATAGTTGCAAGACCTAGACGACCGGCCTCACTGCTTCTCCATATCGGTCAGGAGCTACATGGACGATCTAAAGCACACTACTGCTGAGATAAAGAGGCCCAGCTGCAGCCAGTCTTTCTGCAAAGTCTGCCGGAGGTTCCTCCTCCACCAGCGTTACAAGGAACGGAGCATGAAAGCGTAGCCTGAAATGGCAGTGCAACCCGGAACAAAGGTTCACCTGGCACAAGTGCCCAACACATGTTTGCATGTACGGCACGCGGTACCTACCACGTATGCATAGGTAGGTCATAGTTAGGTAGGAAGGTATGTTTACGAATATGCATGGTGTGTGTGCATGCATGCATGGACGCATGGATGTCTGCATGTATGTTTTCATGCATGGATGGATGGATGGGTTTTGCTTGCTTGCAGGCCTTCGTATACGTACACACATACATAGATGCATCATATGCATGGGCAAGTGCATACAGACAGGCAGATGCCTAGACTTGCATGCGTACATACAGACAGAGAGCTTGCAGTTCTGCACGTGCTTGCAGCTTGAGACCAGTTGTCGTGCATCCTTGGCCCGGCAGAACCGTACTCGGTGCGTGGCAAAAATCGTCAATACCTCGCATCGCAGGGTCCGTCAGAGTCGAAGCTCAGGAAGTTTTTCGAGACAGCAGACTCCGATGGTTCTGGCACCTTGAGCTACAGAGAGCTGCTTGCTCGCACGTCAGCATGTCAATGTATCACTTTCTCGACCGACATCGCACATGCATTGAGATCGTCACCGTGTGCGTCCATGGACTAGCTCATGGTGGTGTTTTCAATCTTGCTGGGTCCATACAGTACACATGCCACGTTTTGAACGACCTGGATAGTCATTACACTACGAGCAAAGCATACTGATACGGCAAAATGCACTGCAAATGGGTAGACATGCTTGTAGAAACGTGGGCTCGGAAGTGCACCTCACCCACAAACCTTGAATCGACCCGAGTGCTTGAGATGACAGCGCCCGCCACCCTGGAGCGCAATGTGCGATGCAGCCAAGGTTCTGTGGGCATTTGAGAAACCCGACAGTCAAGGCAACGAAGCCAGTGGCCTCCCCTTGTGCGGTGCGATAGCAGCAGGATTAGCAGGATCCACAGAAATGCACCTCTGTGGGCAGGCTTTCTTTCATGGTCTGGATATTGATCCGGAGGAGGCCTCTTGGGTCTGTGTTTGCGAAAGCATGCAAGCCGACGGTTGTCCTAGAAATGGGAAAACCGACGGGTTCTATCCATCCCTTGTGCCCTGTGAGGCCTCCATCATTTTCCGAATTCTTGACGATGACAAGAACGACGAAATTCTCATAGAAGAGTTCATTAATGGCACCATGAGCCTTGCTTGCCTTTGTGATACACTATGTCGGACCGCTTACTCCAAACCTTTCCCTCTTTTCTCGGCGATGCTGGCAGCTCTGGCATGCAAGGAAGCTGAAGGGTCATGCCACAAAGCTCGAGATGATAACTTTGATGTACGACAACACCAGGCGTGCGGCTTTGGACCAATCTGTTACTTTCGAGGGATTGCAAAGCATGCTGAACACTAGCTGCATGTGACCTGATGCATCCGATCACATGCGTAGAGCCGTCAGTCGCTTGGCTGATGTGACCATGCAGACACTGAGCCTGACATCATGGCACAGGCAAAGCATGAAGCTGGACTCGTCAGATGCTTACCGCCACGGTTCTGTGCCACGAAGTGACGACACTGTGTTCACACGCGCCCTGAACCCTGGCTTGCCTCAAGTCGCAGAGCCGGCTCGAGTGGGAACTCCTGCTTTATAGAGCCCCAGCAATGAAGCTCAGCGTCGGCCTGGTCACCTTGGCAAGTTTGACGGTTGCGTGGGGAGCACAGCTCCGCACCCGCGGAAGGGATGAAGATGTGCCCGATCCACCGAATCGCACCACCACCTTCAGCAAGACGTGGGTCGAGACATGCGAGAACATCTCACTGGCGGAATGTACGGGTTCCTATGTCGGCTGGGGCGTGCACTACCTGCAAGAATGCGCCATCAGCAGCTCGAAAGCCCTTTGCTTGTCTACCGGAGAACGCTGCACACGCAGTTCAGAGCTCTTCGTCGAGTACCTGGTAGTTGCAGGCGGCGGTGGTGGGGCATCGGGCGGTGGGGAGGTGAAGGTGTCCTCGCCGGCCAACAACTGGCGAACAGAAGGTGGATCCAAGCAAGGCATTGAAGGTGGTGGTGGGGGCCGGGTGACTCTCAGCTTGGTGAGGTCTTGGCCAAAAGAGGAGGCCAAGGAGGTGGAGGTTGGAGGGTCAGGAGGATCCGGTGCCAAGAGGGCTTTGGCAAAACGACATACGGCTTTGGAACAGAAGTGTCTTTTCTTTTATTGCGGCACGGTGCCGCCGGGGCTCCGAGCCATGGCAAGGCAGTGCCTTGAAATGGGCGTGAATCTGGAGGAGATTGATCTGCATGGTCAGACGCCTCTGTTTTGGGCTGCAAAGCGCGGCAACATGATGATGGTCAAGTTTCTCCTCAATCTTGGCTTTGCAAAGAAAAGCGCCGTCTTCCTGGCCTTGTCTCGATAGTTCTTGTTGAGGTGAACTACCAAGACAAGCCGAGGAAGACGGCTCTTTTGATTGCCATCGAGAACGGTCACCTGGACGTGGCCGACTACCTCATCGAGCGGTCCGCTTCGACATTGGTCCGCGCAAGCAGCGGTAAGACACCGCAAGCGATGCTTAAAGAAAAGAATCACAAGCCACCTGGGAGGAAACGAAAGTTGGCTGAGCCAAGCCTGAGTTTCGTTTGTCCTGGCGCAGAAGCACGCAGGCGTCTCGCCCAGTGGGAATGGGCCGGCGCGGAGGACGAGTCCGAGCCCGTCGTGGATAAAGAAGAGGACAATGTGCTCGTGGTGGCACGAGCACGTTGTCCTCTTCTTTTATCCACGACCGGCTCGGACTCGTCTCGTGGAAGATTCGCGGTTTCTGGACATTACATTTAAACACCACGCGAACCCGCAAGAACAAGATCGCAAGAACAATAACAACAACAATAGCAATATCACCAACAGCAGCAGGAACAACAACAGCAAGGAGAGCAACATCACCAGCAGCAGCCGCAATCTGCTCGCCTCCGGCGCCGGAGGCGGTGGGGGCGGTGCCGGTGAAGCTGGAGCGGATGCCGGCAAGGGTGGCGACGGCATCTCCTCAGGCATCATAGGCACAACCAAATTTTACGGGGGAGGCGGAGGTGGAGGAATCAATGACAATTCAGGTCAGCTGTTGACAGGTCGTGGAGGATTCCGATGGTTCCCAGTGGGAGTTCACCGGAACCGACCGCAAGGCTAATACCGGAGGAGGTGGAGGAGGCACGGACCCGGCGAAGTATGCGGGCATGGGCAGCGCTGGTGTTGTCATCGTGCGCTACCCGAGCACTACGCCTGTATTGGTTGGTGGTGAAGTGGCATCGGTCGACGGCTACCAAGCGCACACCTTCGCGACTCCAGGAGAAGATGTGTTGGCTTTCGGCAATGTCACCGACAATCTCCCAATTGACTTCTTGGTCGTGCTCCGGAGGTGGTGGTGTCGGCGTCATGAAAGGTTCCAAGATGATCCAAAAAGGGAGTGAGTGGGGCCTTCTGGTTGGTAACGGTGGACACTCCGGACAGGGCGGTTCTACTTGTGCCCGTGTCAAAGCCCGAGACATGCCAGAGTCCAAGTTGGCGACGACAGGAGAAGATTCCAAGCTTGGAGGCCGAGTCGCTATTGGTGGAGGGCACGGCGCAGATCAATGCAGACTACCAGGGCGGCGGTATCTCTTTCGATCGCGCTGTGCTGGAGCCTGGTCGCGGCACACCGGGTCAGGGCTTCCCAGGAGGCCATACCTACCGTGACGGTTACGGCTCTGGGGGCGGCGGTGGTGCCGGTGGTCGTGGCGAAACAACAGCTCAGCCGCACTGAGGCGAGGGAGGCGATGGCGTGTCTTTAGACATCACAGTGCTGAAGTGATACGGAGGAGGCAGAGGCGCCGGCGTGAACGACAATGACAAGGCCGCGGTTGAGAGCCGCAGCGGAACTGGTGGCAAGGGTGGAGGCAAAGGGAGCGATTGGGGCAGCATCACCGATTCGAATCCGGATACGTTCACAGGAGCAGACGGTGCTGGCGGTGGAACCGATCCCGACTGCAGAGTGGCTAGCAAGAGTGGGCCGGGCATCGCCACATCTGACGGGGAAATCCGATTCGCACCTTCTCCACAGTTGGCCCGAGCACCTTGAGGTATGACTAGTGACTGCAAAGACCCTCACTCGTTGGGGCATTCAGCCGTTTAGGGCTGCCCCCAAAGCCCTGGCTTTGGGACATCTTGGATGGTTTGCGCATTTAATCACTGCGCCCGTGTTTCAAAAAGGAAGTGCGATCAATTGACAACTTCAGCCTCTCAAGGTGAGACCCTGCATCTTTAATTGCAGTTGTGTATGAGTTGGACCTGGCCTTGCCGGGACAAAAGAGGGGTTCGAAGCATGCGGAACTCTGGGAATCTTGAGAGCCCTTTCAGTCTAGGTGTCCTTCTGAGAGCCTTGCCCGACGTTCTACATGATATGAATTTTCTATTCCCGTTTCATTCTACTATTAACTCCGAACCAAGAATCTCAAACCGAAAGCCCTGTTAAGGCTGTGTGAGTTCCTGGAGCAAGAGTTTCAAGAGCTACGGAGATTGAGCAGACCCTGCTCCGGGCAAGGACTCCCGCAGGCCTGGGCTGCTTTGGGGCTAAAGATCAGCGGGACCGTTTAGGGCTTTGGGGGTTAAGGGCCCTTAACCCTAAACCCCTTGGGGGTTTAGAGCTTTAGGGTTTTAGGGTTTAGGGGTACCCGACAGTTCGAAGAGGCCTCGATGCAACAGGGTTTAGGGGCCTAGGCACTGCAGTCCCCGCTGAAACAACCAAGGGTTCAGGGGCGAAAGTTGCCAAAGTTAAAGAGTGGACTCTATAGCTTGTTTCATGCAGTCGGACTGCGTCCTGGGTGTCTTGGGGCCTGTTGTTTGCTCGGGTTCGCCTTGTCTCATGTCGGACTCCTGTGTCCTGGGTGTCTTGGGGCTTGTCGGTTGCTCGGGTTTGCTTTGTTTCATGCGTTCAGACTCCTGTGTCTTGGGTGTCTTGGCGCTTCTTGCGCGTTCGGGTTTGTTTGCTTCATGAAGTCGGACTCGGGTGTCCTGGGTGTCTTGGGGCTTGTCGTTTGCTCGGGTTTGCCTTGTTTCATGCGGGTGTTTTTGGGGTTTCTTGCTTGCTCGGCTTCGCCTTGTATGTTGTCCTGCAGGCGGCCTAGCCTACGCTTCCTGTCTGCTTTGTTTCATACGGTCGTTCTCAAAAAGCCCGGCTGGTCCGGATGGATGCCGAGAAGGTATGAGTGTTGCAGGCCACGCCGTGAGGCTGCAAGCAAGTTCAGTTTTTAATAATCATATAAATCATATAATCATCTTCGCTGTTATCAGGGTGGGCATGGATGAGGATTGTAAGGAGAGCAGTCTTTACACACCTCCATCATGTCACAAAAACCCCAGTTTCCATTAGAAAGAGCAGTAATGGAACTCCATCACATGCCCATTGCAGGGTGCGTGGCCTGCTTCATCGTTGACGCTTGGATTGCAGCTGGGATCAGTACGGCATGGCCTGTTCATAGCCCCTCAGTCATGGCTTCATCAGATGCTCACTGTGCCAACTTACTGGTGCTGCACTTGCGGTAGGTGTAACGAGGGTTCATCCAAAAAGTCACGAGAAGTGTTGACCCCCGTTGGGGTTTCCCAGCTCATCAGAGTTGTTGTCTATTTTGTCCTTTAGGCCGCACAGCTTCAACAAGATCGGGCGTCTGCGAACATTCCATGAATCCGGTCGTCGTGTCATCCCTGGTTTCAGTGCAGAACCCAGAAAATCTTCAACACGCTATTCCAAACATGGGGCTCCCAGACTCCTGAATGAGAACTTGGGAACATGGCTTTCCAGTCCGAAGCATCAGCCACTGGCCAGCGGCCATCGCAGCCTAAAGTGCGTGTCAGGGCACAGGCTCTTACTCAATGAGCGCATTGGTATGGATGTTTTGTTGGTTTGGAACTGATCCGTCCTGGGTTTAGTGTTCGCCTTTGGACAGGAAGACGAACTAGAGCGGGACAACCTGAGCTTCTGATGAGAGTCGAATTCGACGTCTATGTGCCAAATTGCTGGCAACTCATAGAACCAGGGCGCCAAGCCTCGCAGTACTGTTTCGCCCCGTTCAGGCCTATCGGGAGTCGGGTTCATCACCTTTACTATTCTACTACCGCTCGCCGTGCCCATCATCATGCTACTGGATATGTGGTGCTTGGAAGTGGTAGCATGCACTTTTTTTAGAATGTCAAGAGGCTTCCGGTAGATCTTCTCGAGCCACCCGGGGCCTGGTTTCCGCTGCAGCGAAGCGGGCAGAAGCTTGAGGTTTTGTTGTCTCCTCGCAGATTCTCTTAAGCTTGCTGCAACACGGCACTACAGTATCACATCTCGGCCGGGGCTACAGCTAGGTTTCGGAAACATCCCCTATTATAGCCAGTCTTGAAGAAGGTCTGGGTGCACTCTTCATGCCCGCAGCTGCGCGTGAAATGGATGCCAGCCCCAAGGGTCACAGCATTGCATGAACTCCTTGGCTTCCCCGAGGGATCCAAGCGACTCGCGGCGTCGGCCGAAGGAAAGGGAAGCAGGGACCGGTTCCATTTGTACATCGAAACCAGGAATAATATGCCCCAGATTTCTGATCTAATTATGGTAGCAGCTCGGGAAGGCCACTCTAGCAGTGTTGCAGACTACAGTGGCCACTGTGGTAGCTACGCTTGTTGTGCTCTTGCTACGACTGCGACTACGAATGGTGGTACCCTGTCGAGAACTCGAAGGCGACTGGTGATGCGGGTACCCGCAGCCGGCCACCACCATCATTAGCAAATACGAACACGGACCATCTCTCCGACAAGTGTTACCACTACCATCACATCCTTCTGGTCGCAGCTGCAAATGCTGCTGCCGCTTTTTGTATTAATACCTCCGAAAAATTGCCAGACTGATGGCCGCATGAATCTTCAAGCTGATGCAGTCCATGGCCTGCTGTCTTGAAGTGTAGCCATTGTGACTGTGTGAACATCGACGTCGTCATCCTTACTGACTAGCGTCAGCTCGGCATTTTCTGGTCAACGTCCTGAAGTGTTTGCAAGCCTGCTCAGCACCCTTGTTGTTCATGTGGTCCTTTGCCGATGGCGCCGAGTGGATTCATGCAGAGCCAGGGCACAGAGGTGGCCTGGCTTGGTTTTTGTCGAAAACTCGCGAGTCCCAACTGCAATCCCTAAATAGAGTGCTACAAAGATCTGCCTGTGCGTGCGTGCAATCACAGCATGATATCATAAGGTAAATACATATCGCACACATCGTAAATTGAGATGGGTATGGAAAGTTGTAAGACAGATTGATCGATAGATCGGTAGATAGGTAGACAGGTATATAGGCAGATAGGGTAGATGATAGACGGGATGGAGAAATCGATGGACAGGTAAATGGATCCATCGATAGATATGTACTGTACGCGCCATGCCAGCTAGCTTGGTCGGCAGATAAGTGGGTAGGCATATACACCGACAGACATGGCCTTTCGGATACCTTGCCAAGCAGGTGGCCGATGTCACGAGCCCACGGCTTGCTACAAGGGAGCTGGTGCGACTCGGGGATTCACGGCAATGGGCTGCGGCCTGCCGACTCCTCTTCAATCTTGCAGGACCGCCACAAGATCTCCATGCATAGCTATGGGGTGGTTACTTGCAGTTTTCATGAAGCTTCAGGGGGGACTTGCTCAGTCTCTTATCGCGGTGTAACCTGGCCTGTTCAGCATGCGAATGTCGTGGTAAGTTTTGCATAGAAAGATGTTCAGTTCAGGCTGCTGTCCCGTTGTCACGCCAGGAGCAGGGATCGAAGTGAACCAGTTCCATGTCACGGCGGCCATGCGCGCCTGCAGCAAGGCCGGAATGTCGGAGCTAGAATCCCCTAGCATCCCGACCGTGAGACTATTCCGAAACCTGGTGTGATATATACTTACTCTATCATATATATATATATCTATCTATCTATCAGTCTGTGTATATATATATATATACATACATGTATGTACTTGCACAAGTACGGTAAACATACATTCTTTGTCTATCGTATGCTCTTATGTGTTCAGGGTTTTCAATCTAAAGTTTCGGGCAGATGGTATTTCCAGCTGATACAGTAACTGTCGGTAGTGCTTGTCAGTTCTGCTCTTTCACCATCAAGGCACTAAAGGAGAGACCCTTGGGGTTATGTAGGGGCTTTATGAGACTATACAAGGGGTATATAATGGCTACATAATGGGGTATTAGAATTAGGGGTCCCTTCTTGGGGTCCCTCCTATTGTCCCTTAACACCACCAACTCAAGGCTGGGAAGTGGGAGACGGCGCTGGCGCTCTTGGAGTCGCTAGATTGCCTGCGAGTACCCCAAGAAACTCGGACTCCACACGAAAGTGCCGAAAGTGCTGACCATTTTAAGTCGTTGCTGGGTTGTGCATCTATAGGGACTCAGAATATGCGATAGCTTGGTGTAGTGATTGTGTTGCAGCTCGGATGGCATGGTGGGCCTTCAGTGCCAAGCTTCCGAGTAGCAGCAGAAAAGTGCGAGTCCAGACGCCTCGGCTTAGGAGATCACGCCCGACCCTGGGTCCTTTCCAACCCCCGGTCCAGGAAGAGAAAATCTTCGGGGCCGCTTTCAGCTGCTGCGAGCGATGTGGCAAGTGGCAGCAGGTGCTGGCTCTGATGGCGTCGATGGGTTCGCGGAGCGCGTGGAGCAGAACAAGCCCCAGCAGTGCATCTTACAATTATGCAGCGGCTCGGGATGGATTTGCGCTGTACATCTTTCCACTTGTTGATTGTTGTTTGTCTCAAGCCTGGCTTCGCTTGTGCATTCCAACACTAGCCAGTCCACGCAAGAGCATTCCCAGGTGAGTGCCTGCGAGCAAGTGACACAGTGGGGGCAGGCAGTGCAGTTGTTGGTAGACATGCAGGAAAAGAGCATTTACATGGATGGAAGTATCACCTGCAGCGTGCTTTCTGCCTGTGTCAAAGCCCGGCAACTGGGGGAAGGCGCCAGTGTCCTGAACCTCATGCGGAGAAATGCTGTGCAAGGCAGCACCATAGCATGCAGCGCGGCCATCAGTGCATGCTCTCATGCTGGTTTGTGGCACCTGGCCACCGAACTCTTAGACTACATGGCTGCCACAACAGTTCCCCAAAACATCATCACTTTCAGCTCTGCGATCTCGTCTTGTGCGAAAGCTGGCCAGTGGACTTTGGCTCTGCAGATCCTGCAGCAGATGTCGTCATGTCACGTGGTCCATGACACCATCAGCTGCAGCGCAGCCATCAGTGCATGCGAGAAGGCCGCGTTCATCCTCTCATTGGTTTACTGAACTGTCGCCAGTATTTATTTTGTCCCTTCTATCCTGTCACGAAGCTTTCCATCCAGCATGTACTCTGCAGTTGTTTCTTCATAAGGGGTTGCCCATGAAGGGGTTGAGCGAAGCTGTTTCCATCTCTTACCTTTTAGCTCCGGAACCTGTCAGCTGTATTCAACTCTATTCTCAAAAGCAGTTTGGGTCCGGTGAGAAAGGGATTTCAGAGGCTGTTCAACGGTTTCTTTGTTGTGGGGCCTTGTCAGAAACTCCTCAGAAGTCCCTGCAGGCTGGGCAGTGGACGGTCGCCCTAGAAATCCTCGGCAGCATGCCGGGCCTTCGGGTGCTGCCCGATGCCGTCACCTTGGCCTCTGCGATCAGCTGCTTGGAAAAGGGCGAGCAGTGGGAGAGGGCCCTGCAACTCCTCTCACAAGGTGCCTTCCGCGGGGCGAGGGGTGACCGGTGAGGGGGCTTGCTTCCAAGCCGGGCTTGTTGCACTTACAAGGTATACCAAGAATCTAGGAGCTTGATTGCCCTAAAGAACCGATCCTTTCTTGGGGGCGCCGTGAGGTTTTGGTGAAAAGATGCAAGTCAACCACATTGGCCTTTCAGCGGCGATCTCCGCTTGCGAGAAGGCTGGGCAGTGGAAAGCCGCCTGCGAAGTGTTGCGCTTTTCGGCGACGGCACGCATCAGAACAGACATCGTTGTATACAGCGCGGCCATAGCGGCATGCTCTCGATCTGGGGAGTGGCAGGCGGCTTTTGGATTGTTGGAACAGATGGCAGTGGAACACATCCGCCACGACACCGTGGCATGCACGGCTGCAATAACTGCTTGCACGAATTCGACCGAATGGAAAAGCGCACTCTCTCTTCTGAATTCAATGAACCTCCAGCTGCTGTCGCCAGAGATTTTTGCATACACCGCAGCCCTGAGTGCTTGCGATCTCGGGGAGCGCTGGGAGGAAGCATTGATACTGATGGAGGACATGCAACAGAGCTCCATGGTCATAGATGGCATGCATGTGGGCTGTGCCATCAGCGCTGTCCAGAAGAGGCGTGGACGCCCGGCTGCTATCCGGCTTCTCAAGGCATTGCGTGCGACATGGCCCCCCTTGACTCCGCAAAGCAGAGAGGCTGACATGGAAGGATTGGACGTGCTCAGTCAGCGTCCTGGACTGCTTGTCCTCAACAAGCCAGCTGGTGTGCGGACGGAAGACACGTGGCTCCGAGAGAATTTATCAGAGCAAGACCGGCGGGTGTTGCCCCAACTCCACTGCCTTGCAACGGATGTCATACCGGTATCCCTCAGATTGGCAGATACAGTCGGTACTTGTAACTCGGTAACCATCGTATAGACTTAGGTTCGCCTCAGTCGATTCATCCATGCGAGCATGTCTGTTATCAAACACGTCCATGCATATACATGCCCATCCACCCATCCATACAGGCATAGCAGGCACGTGCGTGCAGAGATGGCCTGTGCTTCCATGAAGGCTTGAGCAAGTGGCCCGCCTTGGCAAAGTCACGGAAATATCGCGCCTGGACGTTCCCACCTCGGGGTTGCTACCTGTCGTTCTCGACGACGAGACATCGACGGCTGCCAGGTGCGCGGTCTTCGAGAGCAGCATTTTGTTGGAGTCAGTGTCGTTGAAAGACTTTCAGGAGAGGTTCTTGAGGTTTGCGGCCAGGTTGATTCCAAGTATCATGTAGTTTTGTTCACTTCTTTACATAGTTCCGGACTGGAGAGGACAGCTGGTCTAGGAAAGAAGCCGTATCCAGGGGTGTGGACTTTTGTCGTTTTGGGATGACAGGGGGAGGGCGTGTACCTGTGTAAACTTACTAGTTTGTATTTGTATTCTACCGCGGAGTATAAGTCTATGTTGTACTCACTCTAGTGCGACTGAGCAGCGCGCAATGTGCTTACGATGGCGCATCTTTCACGTTTTCTCAATCACATACCCTAAACCCTGAACCCTGGAAGCAATGCTTGTTTCACGCCGACTTAAACCCTGAATCCTCATGTGGATTCACCGAGGTGGTACAAAGCGCAGTTTGCGGGCCGTCTGGCGAGGAAGGAGTACCTCTGCCTCTGTGAGGGCGAAGTGCTGCCTGCAGCGCCGTCCGCACTTTGCAGGGCTTTTCGGATCGATCGTTTTGGTGCCCGGTTCCTGGTACGTTGAAGACTGGGTCAAGCAGAAAGATGAATAATATAGACCATATAGGCTCTAAACAGATATGTCTGCATGCACAATGTATCCACATGTTTTGCGGTTTCGGTTTCGGAGTTCAAGTTTTTGTTCAGGGTTTGGGTCGGAAGGTGGTCAGCAGTAATTAGTGTTTCCGGTGCGGGAACAGGCTCCGTGTTATAGGACTCATGAGAACCTTAACCTTCGTGTTGCGGGGTTAGTGGCATGGGGCTCTAACCGAATGGCCCACCAAGCCTGGAAGTGCCCAGTGCCAAGGCCGACGGCGAGCAGCGAGTGGAGCTACCCTTGCGCATCCTGCCCCCGGGATCGGGCACCGCCCGCGCAGCGGTGGATCCCCTTGGTCGGGAAGCTCTGACTTGCTACGAGAGTCTGGCCGTGTACAGCTGTGATAACAAGATCTGGTCGCTGGTCCGTGCCAAGCCGAAGACGGGACGAGCCTCGAAATCAGGGCAAGCTTTCCTGTGTCAATATCCCAGTGTAGCCTGGAAGCTTCAACCGCATGGCTTGTTGGACGAAGGAATGCACCAGATCCGTGCGCACCTGGCGAGCACGGGCCTGCCGTTGGTAGGCGACCGATGCTTGCCTGCACAACAACAACTTCAATATAGACTTGTACTGATGGCTCAACATAGTCGTCTCCCTGAGCTTCCCCTATCTATACGGTTGTCCAGGCCGTTTTTCTTCAGCCTGCTCCGACCAGTGCCAGTAACAAGCTGTAGAGAAGAGCATAGCCACAATAATAATAATAATAGTGATAACAACAACAACAACAACAACACCAACACCAACAGCAACAGCAACAGCAACAGCAACAACAACAACAACCAACAACAACCAACAACCAACAACCAACAACCAACAACAACAACAACAGCAATAATAGTGGTTGCGCCCAGGAGTTTATGGGCTACCAGGACCATTTTGGTGTCCTCGATTGTTCTTGCACTGCCGCCGGTTGACGTGCCTCGGCTGGACCGGACTGAAATAAACGAACTTGAAGCTATGAACTCGAAGTACAGCAACATGGACTCTTGCCAGTAGGAGACGTGCTACATGTCTCTACTCTTTGCACAAGATGTGTTTCTTTCACGTCGCCGTTGCATTCCAGGCTTCTTGGCTGGGATGGCAAGGAACTGAGCATCGACGCTCCACTTCCCGCTGAGCTTCGGGCAGCCCTGGAGCACCTGGAGCGGGAAGCCTCTTAGTATAGTGATATGCTGTAGTAATGTATTATATAGTTTAGGAAAGTATAGTACAGTATAAGTATAGTATATAGTCTAGTGTAGTATAGTAGCATAGTATTATAGTATAGTATCAGATAGTATAGTATGATATGGTACTGTGTAGCATTACTGCCGGAGACGTTCAGAACAGAGCCAAAGTCAAAGTAGTGTTCCGAGCGCATGCTTTCGGACATGTTCTGGCTGTGTTCTGGTGGTGCCATTGGGCAGCCAGTTGTCCCGCAGCAAATCTGCACTGGCGCTGTGCAGTAGGCGACTGGCCAAGAACAGGCGATATTCTTGCAGTATAGTCTGTGCTGGCTCAAGATTTCTCGGCTTGATGGGGGTGGCGGGGCTGGCATGTGGGCGCAGCTGCCTCCACATCTCGCCCCATGGCTACAGCTAGCTGCGCGCGCCCCTGTGATATCGCCACGCTGTCTGCCAATCCTCGGCTGGCGACCCGCTTCTTGGTGCAGCTCGGGGATGCAAAGCAATGGCCGGATGCCGTATCACTACTGCGAAGCCTTCGAGGTTCGGCGTAGTAGACGAAATAGCTACGGATGAGCCGACTGTCCCGAGCGCTTTCGTCCAGCTGTCTTCTTGAGGAGAGGCGGTGGAGCTTGATCAGATTCATTTCAGCGCTACCATCCGTGCCTGCAGTAAAGCTGGTGCTTGGGTCCCGGCATTGGCACTGCTGGATCTGATGGCTGACTGGCAACTTGACAAGGCTTGTCCCCGACCGAAGCAAGCGAAGTCTGCTGGCTGTGAGTGCTTGATGCTGTCGTAGGAAGTCGGTGATGACTCAAGCTAAGCCAGAGAGAGAGGCACCCTCTTGCAGTGATCACATGTTTGCGTAGTTGTCAGGATCTGAAGTGCTTCGGTGCAGCGCTGAGCGCCTGTGACCATGGCCGCCGGTGGCAGGCGGCTCTTCTGCTGCTTTCTTCAATGGCGCGGGCAGGCACTGCGCCGGGTCAGATTGCCTACAACTGTGCCGTCGTTGGGCCCTGCCTATCACAATTTTCGCTTATTGCGTTTTCGTATCGCACTGCGGTGCGGAGCTCCGCTGCAGTGTCGGTCCGAAGGTTCATTGAACGGTCCACTAGCAGGCAGTACAGGCAACGTACAACGATTTGGGGATCATGTCGGTGTTTTTCGACATGCCTGCTTTGGGGCTTTGGTTGAACCATCCCGCCATGCAGGGAAGTTCAGAAGGTTTGGGAATCATTGTGCAGACATTCATCGGGCATGTCGAGCTTTTGCGTGGGTCGTGAGGTAAGCGCATGCGAGCGCTGCGCCCAATGGTCTCAAGCACTGCAGCTCTTGGAAGACATGAGCTTCCAGCAAGTGCCTGTGGACACCATCACCTTCTGCTCGGCCATTTGTGCCTGTGGAAAGGCGAAGAAGTGGCCCCAAGTTCTTTGGCTTCTGCAGCGCATGGACCAACACTCTGTAGAGAAGAACACCATACTTTGCAGTGCGGCGGTGAATGCGTGTGCAAAGGGCAACCTCTGGACCATGGCCATAAATATTTTGGATTCCATGGCTCTCTCCGGCATCGAGAGAAACACCATCACTTTCAATTCTGCGATCGCGGCTTGTGAGAAGAGTGCCGAGTGGGAACTGGCTTTGGAGATCTTGAGACAAATGGATAACGATCAGGTGCGCAGTGATACGATTTCATATAGCACAGCCATCAGTGTTTGCGCAGCTACAGGCCATTGGACGGTAGGGCTGGTTCTGCTTGACCACATGTTTGCCAAGACAATACCGCCTGATGCCATTGCATTCTCTGCAGCTATCACTGCCTGTGGAAGAGGGGAAGTGTGGGATCGTGCATTGGTGCTCTTGCGAGATCTTTGGTCCCTGTCCAATGGAGTGAGCAGTATCAGCTTTGCTGCGGCCATATCAGCCTGTGAACGAGCCGGGCAATGGACCGCGGCATGCCAGGTTCTTGAGACATTGCTGAGCACGAATGTCGCTGTGGACGTTGTGCCTTTCAGTGCCACGATTGCAGCTTGCTCGCGCACGGGAGAGTGGGAAATAGCATTGGATCTGCTTGACCAGATGGTGTCCAGGAGCACAGGCAAAGACACAGTGTCGTGCACAGCGGCCATAAAGGCTTGTGCAACATCCACCCGCTGGAACGCTGCATTATGTCTTCTTGGAACGATGCTCGCGGAAAAGGTGCCTCCGGATGTCGCCACCTACAGCGCAGTCTTAAGTGCGTGTGACCTTGGCGAGCGATGGGAAGAGGCCCTGGTGATCATGCATGACATGGAACGCCGATCCGCAGCCATAGATGGTATACATGTCGGCTGCGCAATCAGCGCTGCTTTGAAGAAGAAGGGACGAGAGGCCGCCATCCTCCTCCTGGAGGCGTTGCGGACATCCTGGCCAGACATAGACACCAGAGTAGTCCCAGCAGAGATACACTCTGGGGATATTGAAATCGTATGTCGGCATTCTGGTCTCTTGGTTCTCAACAAGCCAGCCGGTGTTCTGACCGAGGATGCGCTTCTTGCATGCACGGTATCTTGCTTCTTTGCTTTTGCCCGAAGCGGTGCCCGGCACCCGGCCCGACCAAATTCACTAACCGGGAGTAGAAGATGAAACCTATAATGCGGCCATATGAGCCCGATACCTGACAAACGGGCCTTCTCACTCGTCGTGGCATCGTTTCTTCCAAAAGTCTCGCAGGCTTTCCTGGGCGCAAGGATGGGCTGGGTCTCGGGTGACGGCTATGTCTCGCCTGGATGTCCCGACCTCCGGACTGCTTCCTGTGGCCCTCGGTTCGGAGGAGACAGCTTCGAGCAAGTGGTTCAAGGCGCAGTTCGCCAGCCGCCTCGTTCAAAAGGAGTACCTCTGCCTCTGCCACGGACGCGTGGAGGTGCCTCTCTCTGCAGCCTAGAGTCACAAGGCTCACAGATCCCTGTCCGTGACAGATGCGAGTGCCCTTAAGGCAGCTGGGCCTCTGCAGCGCGTGGAGCTGCCGTTGCGCGTGGTACCTTCGGGCCCCGGCACATCTCGCGCGCTGGTGGATCCACTCGGCCGCGAGGCTGTAACCACCTACGAGAGCCTGGCCACGTACCCCTTGGAAAGCGAGGTCTTTTCGCTGATCCGTGCCAGGCCGAAGACAGGAAGAGCCTTGGTCAGAACTACTGAGCCTGAGTAAATAGGATGATATGTACACCTGCGCAACTTTGATGTCCCATGCACGCTAATTAGAGTCACCCAGGAATGCACCAGATCCGCGCTCACCTGGCGAGTGTGGGCCTGCCGTTGGTGGGTGATCGATGCCTGTCCTCAAGCCGTGCAGTTTGCTTTAAGAACCAGTTTCGTGATGCCGTCAGACGACCCTGGTCTCGCGTCGGAGCAATCGTCAGTCAATATGTCAAAGGCATAGCGTGTGCGAATCTGAGGGCTTTATGGCCCGCGTGCCCCTTCTTGGTGCCGTCGCCTATTTCTTCATTGCCAAAGGTTGAAGCAGCCCGACTTTCTCACTGCTCTGAACTCTTGAGTGTGTGTATGTTCAAAACAGCCAATGCTATAGCACCACCGCTCCCAGACTCAACTCCCATTGTCCTATGAGGCTGTTGGGCTGGCACAGCGAGGAGCTCAACATCGTGACGCCGCTCCCTGTAGAACTTCGGCGTGTCCTCGTTCACTTGGGTGGAAAGGAGCCGGAGGAGAGCGATTGGAAAGGCCAGGAAGAAGACGCTTCTATCACCTGATGAGAGCGCTGCGCAATTAAGACACTGAAACAGCCAGTGAAATCCAGCCAGCCGTGATGATGCAGCTGATCGGTGCCCGAACAGCGTCACGCAAGCCACGAAAACTGACAAGTGTGCTGCCTGAATCTCCGTGACCTCGCGATGGCATTTCGACGAACAAGCTCCAGGTCGAAGCTCGGCAGCTACTATTATTAGCATCACAGACACTGAGGTCCATAATCTTTAGTACTGTGCATCCAGCACCGCCGCTCTGCACATACTGAAGCATCGTAATCCTGGCGTTAGCTTTGGCACAGGTGACAGGTGCACATGCGGGACAGACATGGGTTGCTGTTGTGTGGTGATGTGTGGGGCCTGTTCGGCTCGGCAGTCGCGCCCGCAAGGTTTGGCTCAAGGACATCGTTAAACACGCCCAGGAGGGTTGCGGGCCATGGCACGGAGATTCTCACAGTGCTAATAGAGTTGGTTCGAGCATGACATGCAGCACGGCACATCCTGGAGACGCCCTCAGGGTTTGCAGCAAGGCTATTGCTTCTTGTGCCAGAGCTGCGCGCTGGCAGCACGGGCTGGACTTGCTTTCCAGCCTACAAGTCCGAGCGATCCAGGCGAATGTAGTAGTTTACAATGCCACCATCAACGCTTGCGCACAAGGGCGGCAGTGGCAGCTGTCTTGGCTTTTGCTCTCTGAACTCGAAGCGCAGTACATCGAAGCCACAGCCATCACATACAACACGGCTCTCACTGCGTGCGAACGAGCTTCTGCCTGGCAAAAGGCTCTCGATCTGCTGTCTGTCTTCATGTTCTGTCTGCTTGAGGCAGACATCACCTCGTACAACACCACCATCAGCACTCTCGCCAAGGGTGAGCAGTGGCAACGTGCCTTGGAGATCGCGAATCACCTTCACAAGGACTTGAACTTGAAGCTTGATGTGATTTCAATGAATGCCGCCATCACAGCCTGTGGACGAGGCAGTGAATGGCCACAGGCCCAGGCACTCCTGGAGGCTTTGCACGCCAATTTCCTCGAGGCTGACACGATCTCCTACAATTCTACATTGCATGCTCTAGGCGGCAGTCAGAAATGGAGCTTTAGCTGCCGACTCTTCGATGAGCTGATGCAGAAGTGTTTGCTGACAGACGTGATCACCAGAAGTTTGCTTTTGGAGGCGACCTCCAAAGCCCGGGAATGGTCTTCGGGGTTGGCTTCCCTGGACAAGCTGACTGCTCAGGGGGTTTCCTTGGACTCCGGGCTTGTCAGCCGGAGTCTTACCGCAGAACACAAGTGGAGGGAGACGGTTTCATTACTGGCCGGAATGAAGTGGAACACTATTGAGTTGGACACGGCTGTCTACAACGGAATCGGTAGTGGCTGTGTGCATGCGCAGCAGTGGCATCAGGCCTGCAACCTTGTGTCTATACTGCGGTTTTCGGACATGCAACTTGATGTTGTGACCCTCAGCACTGTGATTTGCGTGCATGACGGAGAAGAAGATGCTATGTGGCAACAGGCTTTTCTTGTGTTGCAAGACTTGCCTGAGAACATGGTTGAGGCCGATATCATCGCTTGCAACGCAACCTTGAATGTTTGTGAAAAGGTGAGCTGCTGGCAGCAGGCCCTTCTTCTTTGTCACCAGCTGGGAGATTTGGCTTTGCAGGCTGATGATGTTACTGCCAACTCCATCATTACTGCTTGTGGTAAGGGGGGTGAGTGGCAGCAAGCGGTTCAGCTTTTCCAGCAGTTTTATCCCGAAGGCTCGAGAGCCAGTGTGAATGTATACAACGCACTTATCAGTGCCTGCACCAGGGCCAGCAAGTGGCAGCTCGGTTTGTCTTTCGTAAAGACTTTGCGAGCCTCCGGCTTGGACCCAGATGTGGTGACACTCAATACTGCAATCAGTGCATGTGACGAAGGCAGGCAGTGGCGGCTGGTGTTGGACTTGTTTGGCCAGTCCCGAAGGAGGGGAAGTGCAGATGCGATCACCTACAGTGCAGCCATGAGTGCCTTTGAGAAGAGTGGAGAGTGGCAATTGGCACTGCAGCTGTTTGGTGAGTTGCGCCACTTGTCACTCGAAGCCTCGGCAATAGTTTACAACATTGCGATCAGCTCTTGTGAACGAGGCTCCCAGTGGCAGCAGGGCTTGGAGGTCTTGCAGGAATTGAGAGCCATGAAAGGGACACAAGTCGAAGCAGATGTTGTCAGCTACAGTGCGGCCACCAGTGCTTGCGAGAAGTCGGGGCAATGGAGGCAGGCACTTGCCCTGCTGAGGGATGTCGAGGCTGATTGCGAGGTCGATATCGTGGTGTACAGTGCGGCAGTCAGCGCTTGCGAGAAGGGTCAGCGATGGCAGCAGGGCTTGGCAGTGCTTGCAGGGGCCTCTCGCCGTCGTCTCCTCAACACCGTCTTGTTTAATGCATCGGTGAGTGCCTGCGAGAAAGGCAGGCAATGGCGTCCAACCATGGAGCTTGCTCAGCAAATGCAGCACAGGCGGATTGCCACAGATGTCATTACATTTAATGCGGCAATGTCCACATGCCAACAGGTTATGCAGTGGTATCATGTGCTCCGGCTCTTTCATCGTCTGCTCGAGGGGCGAGTTGCCAGTGTTATTGCCTTCAGCAATGCGGTGGCAGCTTGTGACATGCGCAAGCAGCAACCGCTGCAGGACATGTTCGCGAATTTGCAGGCGCTGGTCTCTGCGTCACTTCATGAGGAGAAGTCGTAGTCGTGGCTCCCAGAGGCTTCATGACCTATAGCTTAGACTCTGTTTGTGTGCACAGGGGCGGTGCTGTACTTGTGACAGAATCTTGACGAAGACACTAATTACATAGATCGATGAATTGCGGGTCTGAAAATACCTGTTGTCCTGAAACGAAGCTTCACCACCAACTTGAAAGAGCATTCCTGCTAGCAGATTTCAATAGGGCAGGGTCTTGCGTCTTGCGTAGGGGCATCTGCCTCCCTTCGTGTCATGAGTTTGTAGTACTGTTGAGGGCAGAGAAGCTCTTCTCCGATCCTTCGCCGTTGCAAAGCTTCTCAAGACTTCAGCTCCGTTTGATTTGTAAGTCACAACCCATCGAGTCGTTGGCAGTTCTTCAAGTGTGTCGACGGTTACAAACGACAGCGCGTGCTTTACTTAAAGAACTGCTTGTGACCACACTTTCAGGTACACACTACTGCGACTGAACCTTCAAGCAGCTAGCTCAAGCCCCTTCTACAAAACAAGGCACTGATAACATAGGAGATCCACGGAGCACTTCCAGTTAGGCATGGAGCTCTTGGGTTCTGTCTCGCCCACGTTTCAATGCAACTCCCTCATTGGAACGTGTGTGAAGCCACTGGGCTATTTAGTCGTACATTTTTGTTGCATAGTTGTGAAACTCTCCTGGGAGCCTGCAGACCCATGAAAAGTGTTGACCTCTTGTACTGCCGCGGAGATACTTGCTTTCTCAGGACAAGACAATGGCAAAGGGCTCTGTGGGTCCTAGAAGATATGCGCTATTCCCGTGTCGAGGCAGATGCAGTGTCCTACAATTCTGCTATGGGCGCTTGCATGAAGGCAGGCCTGCAACACCGCGTACCTGACTTGTTCCACCAACTTTGTGCAGTCCAAGTTCCTCCTGACCTGGTGACATTCAACACCATGATACGCGCATGCGGCAGTCATTGGCAGAAAGTCTGTGCCCTGCTGCAAGATCTGGAAGCCAGTAGCTTGGAGCCGGACCTTGTGACGTACAGCTCTGCAATCAGCGTCTTCGAAAGGCAAGGGCACTGGGAGCAAGTCTTGGGGCTGCTTGAGGAGCTGTCTGTGAACAAGGTGGAGACGGATAGAATTCTCTGGAATTCCGTTGTCAGCGCCTGTGCCAAGGGAAGCGAGTGGGAGCATGCGGCAGGGGCTTTGGAGACCCTTCTGCCGGCGAGCCTGCGGGCGGACATCATTTCCTACAATGCCGCCATCAACGGACTAGGAAAAGCTGGAGAGTGGCAACTCGCCCATCTTAGGCTTCTGGAGCTGAAGGCCACCATGTGCCGGGCCAACCTGGTGACTTTTAACGCAGTCATCAACAGTCATCAAGAGCGCCAGAAGTGGCAGGAGGCTTGGAGATTATTAGGGCTCGTCGCTGAGGCAGGGCTGGAAGCAGACGTCATCTCTTTCAACTCAGCCCTCAGTGGAGGCAGTGGCCCGTGGAAGGGCATCTTGTCTAAATTCGAGGACTTGCGCCGCGGGCGGCAAGGCCTGCAGGTCGATGCCGTGACCATGAGCAGCGTGATGGTCTCTGGGAGTCACTGGCATCTCGCAGTCAGCTTCCTGTCTCTTTGTGGGAGGATGGCCTTAGAAGGTAATGCTGTTCTTTGCAATGCGGCTCTGAGCACCTGCTCCCAGACTGGGCTGTGGCAGCAAGGGCTCAGCATCTTGCGCTCCCTCCCGGGGGCCGGGATCCAGCCCGACCTCGTCACCTGCAGCGCTGCGCTCAGCGCCTGCGAGGCCTCTGAGAGATGGCAGCTGGCGCTGCTTCTCTTAGAGGAGCTCCAGAACTTACGGCCAGATGTAGTCGCCTACGGGGCTGCAATCAGTGCCTGCGAGAAGGGTGGCGAATGGCGGCATGCGCTTTCCCTTGCCTCGGAACTTCTCGAGCGAGCCTTGCAGGCTAACCACATCATATACAATGCCTGCATAAGCGCCTGTGAAAAAGGTGGCGAATGGCAACGGGCGCTGGATTTGCTCAGGAAGTTTGTCGACATAAAGTTACAGAGTGACATAGTTTCGTACAATGCTGCAATCAGCGCGTGTGAGAACGGCGGTCAGTGGCAGCATGCGCTGCTTTTGCTCGAAGCCGTCGGGATCCTCCGCCTGAAGCGCGACATCATCACATACACTTCTGCGATCAGTGCGTGTGATAAGGGCGAGGAGTGGGAGATGGCTCTGGAAATCCTAGATGATCTGCAGACGAGCCGTCTCCAAGCCAACATTGTAACCTACAACTCGACGATCAGTGCGCTTGCCAAGGGCACAGAGTGGCAACAGGCATTGTCGACTTTCGAGGTGCTGCAGAAGCAAGCAATGCAAGTAGACATTGTGACAATCAATCTGACAATGAGTGCTTGCGGAGCTGGCGAGCAGTGGCAGTTGGCCTTGCAGTTTTTAACGGAAGTGCAGAACGCTGTGTCTGAAAATCCCATTTCGGCGAACATCGTGACTTATAACGCCGCAATCAGTGCTTGTGAAAAGGTTGGGCAGTGGCGCATGGCGCTGTTCCTATTCTCAGCACTACAAAAGACAAAGCAGCAACCAGATGTCATCACCTACAATGCTACCATCAGCGCCTGTGAGAAGACCGACCATTGGCAGCAAGTGCTGTTGCTGTTTTCAGAGTTGCAGGCTAGGAGTCCGACGACAACCCCCTTTAGAGTGCATCCTTTGTTCTAGGCTCTGCATGGCACTCCTCCGGCTGATGCCCAAGACTCGATCTAACGACTTCTAACTGAAACCATGCACGGCAGTCATTTCGACTTGCAGGCCATGGGACAGGCGTCGGTCATATCCTTCGCGAACGTGCCTGGACTTACTTTGGAGGTTGAGGTGGAGAGGCCTTTTTGCAGATAGTCGCCCTGGTTGTCACGGTCCTTCCATACTTGTTCTCTTCTGTCCTTGTGGATTGCAAGCTGGGGGGGTTCACGGGGCCCCTGCTTGACACACAGACGTAATCCCGTAAGCCTGTTGGAAAATCGGTGAGATATGTTTGCAGCGTTTTTTGTTGTTTTGGTGTGTATGTGTGTGTGTGTGTATGTATGTATGTATGTATGTATCTGTATATACATACATATATATTATATATATATATATCTGTGTGTGTGTGTTTGCATTGCGCCATCTAGGATGCGAGAAGGGGTCGTGTTCTGAAGCTCTGACCCTGCAAGAACGTTTGTGGTCGAATCCGGCATTTCTAACACAGAAAGTGGATTGTCGGAGTGTGCGCAGAGAGGGCAGACCCACACACGGAGCAAGATTCAAACCCCAGAATCTCAGAGCTCCAAGTTTGTGTGTCAGGAAGTGCTACCAGGCTTCTCGTGAAGCCTGAGTGTGAGAGACAGTCAAAGCCCCGCAGGCCTGGAACCCGAACCCCCAAAAAGCCTTTGAAGAGTTGAGCCCCAATAAAGAACCGAAGCCCCCCTAGGCGCTGGGTGCCTGTGGCCGCAGCGGCCATCAGGAGGAGTCTCCTGAGCTCCTCGGGGGTTTGGAGAGGAGCACAGCAGGGCTGATGCCGGAACCAGCTGGGCGGCGAGAAAAGGGAGAGACCCACATCTGGCAGAGCTCTATAGAGCCTCAACCTTGGCTTCGAAATTCAATCTCGACCATCAACAGGTCAGACTCAGACAAGCCGGCAAGTTAGAAGAGTGCTCCACAAGATCACGGGATCCGGAGTTTGCTGCCGTCGTTCCGGGACTAAGCATTACGCATGTTTGTAACGTCTGAGTAGCTTGGGGAAACTGGGAAGAGCCTAAAGCTAAACACCGTCGAAGTCTCGGAATCTTGTCCTTTACAGCTTTCGGCAAGGTGGGCCCGCAGTGCCTTACTGTGGCTCAGTCATTCGAAACCATGCCAGGCTTACAGTGGCGTTTGCGTGGGTTTTTTTATCAAATCAGAACCATTGCCGGGACTGCCTCAAAGAAAGAAGCACTCAGTTGTACCTCTGAGGATGAGAATGAACGTAAAAGAAACAAGAGTTGTAGGTGATGCCAGCGACTGTGCATGTTCATGTCCTGTTTCATTCGGTAGTTACTTCTAGTTATACTTCAACAGCAGCAACCCCTTAGCCCACTGGCTGAGTCGTCAGCGAGTGCATGTGCGCGCGGCGCACTTCTTGCGGCGAAAAGCACGTGGAACCCCGGGCTTGGTCCGGAAATGGGAGGCATGGAGTCCAAGTTCCAGAGAACAGAGAAGAGGACTTGTGCAGATGACGCATCAGCACCGAGCATCGTGATGCTTGGAGTTCGAGCGGATGCACAAAACGCAGAGCACCGGCAGCAAAGCTAGAGTAGCTGGCAAAGGATGGCTGGCGGCGATCTTCACACTTCTAGATTCTCGACGGCGTGCGTGCCAAGGCGATGTGGTGCAACTCAACACAGCTCTTCGCGACTGCCGGAGAGCCGGCAGGTGGCAACATGTTCTGACGTTCTTGAAGAGCGCAGCTTGCAGCCTCGGGACAGAACCTGACATTGTGACGCACAACACGGCATTGACTTCGTTGGGAATCCGTAAACTCTGGCAAGCTTCTCTTGCCTCGCTCTGTGCACTTGGCAATGGAACCGACGTATTCAGCTTCAACACCTTGCTGGGCACTCTGGACAACGCTCAGCAGTGGCATTGGGTGTTGCAGATGTTCCGCGATGTCCGACGGCGTCGCATGGGGGATGCTGTTACATATACTTCCTCGCTGAGGGCCGCCTCGAAGCGATCCCTGTGGGCCGATGGCCTGGATCTGCTTCAAGATGCCCAGGTGGAAGAGCAAAGAAATCCAGTTCATTTTGGGCTTCTGAGGTTTCAGAGTGTCTGCTCGGTTGCTTCGTGCCTTAACAAAAAAATCAGGCTACGGACATCGAGCTCGACTTGACGGCCCTGAATGCCGTGGCGAATGTCTTCGAGAGGGGCTCGGCTTGGATGCAGTCCTCCTGCCTTTTGGCCAGGCTGCCCATGGCCACCGCACGGCCGGATGATCAATTCTACAATTCAGTCCTGAGGGCCTTGGGTGAATGCACTCGCTGGAGAGGTGCCTTCGCCAGCTTCTTGACCATGGATGCACAGAGGATCAGCCCCACAACTATAACATGCAACTCCATTCTTCAGAGTTGTGCTGATGGAAGGTGGCCGATCATTCTCGTTCTCTTGGGAAGTGTCCAAGAGGCGGCCGTGGAGGCTGATACAGTTACCTTGAACACCGCCCTCAACACGGGCCGGGATGGCTCATGGGAGGCCATGGGCGCATTGCTCGTGCGAGCTCGAGTTGCAACTCTCCAGGCGGATGCTTTCACATACAGCGCCGCCTTCAGAGCAATCGAAAACATCAGCCGCTGGCAGTCGGCTCTGCTCTTGACGACGGACTTTACCGTGAAAGGACTCAGGGCAAGTTTGATAGTCATGAACTCGGCGATTAGCGCATGCAAAGCTGCGGGTGAATGGGAGCAGGCCTTACGACTACTCGCAGATCTTATCGCCCAGCAGCTGCTACCAGATGCAGTCACCTACGCGTCGGCCATCGCAGCTTGTGAGAAAGGCAGCCGATGGGTCCTGGCTCTTGAGCTCTACGAAGACATGGCTTTGGAAAGAGTTGATCCAGACCTGGTCGTGTTTGGATCTCTGGTGAGCGCCTGCGGGCAAAGTAGAAACGGATCCATGGTATGTGGCTTTTTGGAAGCATTGGCGATGCGGAATGTGGAACCCAATCTGGTCCTTGCCAATGCAGCCATCACTGCTCTTGCGAGGTGTGGGGAGTGGGAGGAGGCGTCGTCAATGCTTGCAGAGCTCCTTCATGGGTCTTCCCGCCTGGATGCCATTACATACAATGCCGTCCTGTGCCCGGGTTCCTGCACTCACCATATCTTTGCTATAGATACCAGTTACTAGTAGCAAAGTTCGGCAAGAGTTGCCCAGCCAATTACATTCGAAGCCGAGGAATGGCCACGCTGGCCGAGGGAAGTGGTCTGAAGCTCTTGATCTGCTGGCAGAGATGTGCTGTCGGGGACTGGAAGCGGACGTCGTGTCCCACTCTTCTGCTCTGAGTGCTTGCGAGGACGGGCGAAAAAGCAGATTTGTGCAGACCTTGCGGTGTTCGGAGAATCCGAGAGCTTTACTTCGTTGCCGAAGCATACCATGGGGTCTAGAGTCTAGAGGTGCTGCAGACTGGGTTTGCGCAAACGTGAGGAGGGGCTTCGCTGGCTTCAGGCACTGGGAAGCTTCCAGCACTTGCGGGGACGTGGGCTTGAATGCGGCATCATCCCTCACAATGCAGTGGCCTGGCCCGATACTCAGGCAAGGCTTGAACATGTATTCGAGTTTTATAGAATGCCAAGGCAATCGCTGCACTTGCCAGTGGCGCACGTTGGCTGCAAGGCATGGACGCAATGGCCAAATTGCAGCAGCAGGGAAATGCAGCTACGGAGATAACTCTCAACTCCGTTGTCAGTGCCTGCCAGCGTGGTCGTCAGTGGCAGGTTGCCCTGCTCCTTTGCAAAGGCTTACATGCTTCCAGTTTGCGGTTAGACCCGGCAACACACAATGCAGCTATTCTGGTATGTGCAGCTTGTGGACAATGGCTGAGTACCATGGACCTGTTGCAAGACTTGCACAGTGTCCGGTATGCAATCGACAGTGTGGCCCGTGCTGCGGCAATCGACACATGCGAGACGAACCTTCAGCCCCAAAATGCAGCAATGCTTCTGGATGACATGGCCGAAGCTGCTGTCGCAGAAATCGCACAGGCCTGTGATCCCAATTCGGTCCGCGGCACTCGTAGGGAGAAAAGGGTGCGCTCGGATTGACCGTGGTAAGAAGTGCAGCTTGAGTGCTCAGTATGAGACAGGCGTGGCGTTTAGCAGCTAGCAACTGCCCGGTAAAGCCGACAGGAAGACCGACTTCTGATTCTGTATCACACCCATGGACACGGCACAGCACAACAATGTACGGTCGTGTCGCATACAGTCGTGCATATGAGCCTTTTGTCGCTGCACGGACATATCGTGCATCGTACCTGTCTTTCCTGACGTTACTTTTGCCGAGGACGTTCGAACGTGATCCTGCTCGGCCTCTCAAGAGAAAGTCGACAACCTCCAGCAGCATGGTCTCGACCCAGACACCACCTGGCATAGAGCTCGCCATGCAATCCTCGCGGTGCACGACAAAACGTACATTACCGAGGCCTGAGCGATTGGCCTCTCGAACTCGGGGTGCTGTTCAAGCCATAATTACGGGCTCTTTCCGATAGTTACACAGAACTTACCATAGGAAAGGGGCAAGTGGAGACCCTGAGGGTATCCTCTGCAGAACAATGTCCCAAAGGACAGGCTGCGGTGCGCGGCCATCGGCAAAAAGGTCTGAAGACCGCTGCAGAAAAAACATTGCTTGGCGTTGTGGCTCTGTGGCCTAAACAGAATTTGAGACGGTCTTGTGTGTGGCCTGCTGTAGATGCACGGGGATTGGACAGGAGCAAGACTTGCCTAGCTCTTGAGGGTCGCCTGCGTACTGTTTTTTCTGAACCCATTGACTTGGCAGTCAGAGGTGCAGTTCCTTGCAGCGTGAACTTTGACAAGAAATGCCTGTTTAACCCCTCAACTCCGCTAGTTTGAAATGCGTGCTATAGGCATCTGAATTCGTAACCGAGCAGATTTGCACCCGCATTTGTGCTCTTTACAAAGACTTGAACATAGTATGCGGGTCTCAAAATTCCTTATGCGCTGACATACCCTATTGTAGTTGTTAAGGAGGCGGAGGTCGCGAAGCCATAGAGTAGAGGCGTGAAAGCCACGTCCGATTCTTGGCCCCACAGTTGCTGCGGCGACTCTTGACGTGACCACTACGTTTCAAAACAAAGATCCCGGCTGTTGTTTGCTGAAGCTTTCATGTCGGCCCTCGAGGGAGTCGTGCAACGCCTTGCGCTGCAGACACTGGCCATCTTGATTTCAAGCCTTCCAGTCTTAATACAAGTAGTAATAGTAGTATCTTCAACACCCAACCACCTTGGCCCCGAGCCCCCCCGTACCGACTGAGCAAAGGCTCAGTGTGGCTCAATCCGAATGCCATGGACGCTGCCTCCAGCCCGTCCCAGGCATCAGCTCTGGCCTGGTGACACTCTTAAAAGCATAGATAAGACAGTTGGATAAAATTCAACACAACATAAATAATGAAACGAAATACAAGAGCAACCTAATCAAGTATAGAATGTTTTATATAACATGGAATTCATGTATATACCGTGTTTGGTAATCTTCTGTTTGACATTCTGGGTTCGGGCTGGTTCCGCCAGGCTGGCGTGGCGGTGACGGACGACTGGAGCTCCGCCTTCCATGCTCACAATGCGCAACAATGCAAGCAACAGTTGCCAAGGACTCAGATGCAGTATCTATGTTGTACCGGCTATCTATTGTGGAGTATCCCTTTTCTGTTTCTTTCCTATAGTACACACATATACCTTATGTTTAATATGAACTCATTGCTTCACGACTTTGAGTCCGAGCCGTGAGCCCTTTTTTAGACAAGCCCTGAGAGTCCGGAGCTGGTTCCAGGTTCCCCGCAGCCAAGGATTTAGCTGTCCACCAAAACTTTTCATGAAAGTCAGAATATGTCTAGACTAGTATCGCCCAAAAGAAGAGAAGCCTTTGTTGTTCTCAACACAGGGGGGGGCAGCTGCTCAGAACGCTATCATGCGAAGTTGCTGTTCTACAAGACCAGAATGAACATTTCTTACCGGGAGGGTCCGAGTGTGAGCGACAAAAACCACATAGAACAGCATGAGACTCGCACCAGAGTGGCAGAAAAGATTTGCAGGGTCCAACCCGCAAAGTACTCATCGTTAATAGGGTTCGTGAGACTTTGCAAGTCTCGTTTCACGAAGCCGTCAAACTTCCCAGAGGGTTCCTGACTTCGGTCTCGAGAGAGTCATCGCAGTCAAGCTTCCACTTCTAAGTCGAGTCAGAGACGCCCCCCTAAACCCTAAACCCTTTTAGCGCGAGAGTCGAAACCCTAAAAGGGCTGATCACTTCGTGCACAGTCGTCTTGTACTCAACGTATCCTCGCTTGTGGGCATAGATCCTTAGCCATGCGAGAGGGAAAAAAACCCTAAACCCTAAAACCCTAAACCCTGTTCATGTAGCAGGCTGAGACTGAACCTGCCATGCCTGCGTGAGCGAGTGTGTGAGTCGAAACCCTAAAACCCTAACGAGTTGTGAGAGCGTAAAGCCCTAAACCCTAAAACCTGTCTCGTCAGTGCCTTGGTGTTTTCAGGCGCCGCCGAGCAGTGCTCGCCTTGGCGTTGATCTCCGAGCCCTTAGAGAGGCTCAGCCAGTGTAATATAGGGGCCTTAATAATTAGAATAGGGTTTTGGGGCCTATTATGCTAGAGTTATAATAAGGAACCCCCAAAACCCTATTCTAATTATTAAGGCCCCTACAGTAGGGGGCAGAATTTACGTGCATGCTTTAGAGGGGGTGCTGCTTGGCATAAACGAGCCGTAGCCTTTGCTATCCATCATTGCTCACATTTAGGGCCCAATCATGCATTCAGGGTTTAGGGTGCTGCTTGACAAACTGGCATGTTTAACTTAAGAAGACTTATAATTAGTATATATATATATAAATAAATAAAGCCCCGCTTGCAGCTAATGTTCATGTTTCAGCCTGTCCTGGTGTATGACAGTGCATGAGCGATTGGATTGGCTGCTTCTGAGCCACTGCTATCTTGGGCAGGCAGTGGAATGTCAGATCCCCAGATGGCTGGGTCAGGGGTTTTTCAGGGAACTACAGGGGCGGCGGTTATTTATGGTGTTACTATACGCGTTGCCAGAGGGTGTTTGCGGGTTCTACAGTGCAGCAGGACGTCTTCAGTCTTCAGGAATCGATCTCTGTACATGCCGAAAAAAGTCATTCCTCGCCACTCCCTGTTTGCTGGCGCTTGAAACACTGTTTAAGTCTCTGCCGGATGAGTGTCTGGATTTGGTCGCAGACGTGCTCCGTGAGTTGAGTCGCTCCCACTCGTTGAATTTGGTGCCGTCCTCGGGAGCGAGTCGAGCTCCCTTCTGCTTTCCCTCTTTCCCTCCTTCCTTATCATGACTCACTCATGCCATGTATGGTTTGATTTTACACAGACATTACCCACAGGATTCCTTGATTTTGAGGAGATTTTCCTCGACCTGGCCTGGGCGGCTTGGCTCGATGTCGTGCGAAGCGCGAGGCGTGCATACCAGCTGCCCAAGGCCGGCCCTTTAGGCTGCAGGGCTTCTGGTAGAGTTTGGAGTTTAGAAACTCTGAAGCATGTTGGGTTTAGGGGGCTGTGGCGTAGAGTTTAGAGACTCTGAAGCATGTTGGGTTTATATAGGGGGCTGTGCCTTCGCTGAGTGCTGCTTTTCATGTTTCGAGCCTGTCCAATCGTGTTGTCATGCTCTGCATGTCCTCCTATCCTAGCTTGGCTGAAATCCGGTAGCATGATGCATTTGGATTCGGCGGGTGGCCATGACGAGATTACAGAACCTCCAGCCCAGCTGCTGTAAACATCCGTGCCATCATTGGTTCTACAACAGAGTCCAGAATACGACATGCCTCCGATTCGGAATAACTCAGATAGCTAATGGCAGAAGTCTAAACTTTGACCTTGTGTCCGTGGTCTATCTTTAAAAGATTGAACTTTTGGACCGGGTTATTGAGAGAGAGTGACAAGTGTCTCCCTGGTGGACAACAGTGTCTCGTGACAGATGGTTCATCGTGCTTGTTGACCTTTCTTGCGGGCAGGCACAACGGATGTACGAGAAAGCACCCGGGCAGCAATCTTAAGACCAGTTGCAAGAGTTGAACCTGGGAAGACAGGGGGGCGTAGGTAGGTAGGCAGGCAGGCAGGCAGGCAGGTAGGCAGGTAGGTAGGCAGGTAGGTAGGTATATTATCTATGTATGTATGTGTATATATATACATATATATATATATGTCTGTGTGTATATATATATATGTACATATGTATATATCTGTACGTTCTCATCTGTGTGTATGGTTGTATGTATACAAACTTGTACATTCACACCTTATATACATTCACACATATTTGATAACATGTCATGTATATTAAAATATATATTCGAAATATGCACGCATCGTATACTACACACATATGTACACACACACAGAGGGAGAGAGAGATATACTGTCCTCAGAACTGCGGAAAGAAAGACAAACGTATGTATGCGTCGGCGTCGGCGTCGGCGTCGTCGTCGTCGTCGTAGTAGTAGTAGTAGCAGTAGTCGCAGTTGTCGTGGTACTGGTAGTGGTAGTGGTAGTGGTAATAGTAGTGGTAGTGGCAGTTGTAGTGGTAGTGGTAGTGGTAGTGACTGGTAGTAGTAGTCGTCGTCGTAGTTGTTGCTGTTGCTGTTGCTGTTGCTGTTGCTGTTGCTGTTGCTGTTGCTGTTGCTGTTGTTGGTGTTGTTGTTGTTGTTGTTGCTGTTGTTGTTGTTGGTTGTTGTTTGTTGTTTGTTTTTTGTTGTTTGTTG